GGTACCCCAGAACTCCTCTCCCTGAGAGGGCTGTGGCAGTTGGAACGCTTTGGCTTGTCTTTGGGGTGGGGGCATAAGAGGAACACCCAGGTAACAACAGACCCTTAAACTGCATCCTATGGAGGGTGAGACCAGGGCTTTTGACCATCAGAGTGAGAAATGTCTCCTGTCTGCCTTCCCAGATCCATCTCCGTCGTGCTTGGGGACCTGGAGGCTGCTCTCAGTGGAATGATTTGGGCTCCATGCCTCTGGCTTCTGAGTAGGTTCACCCAATGGGAAGGCCCAGTGGGAGGCTGGAGTAAGGAAGAAAAATAGTTGAGGTTTTATGCTCCCGATAGTTCTCCTGGGCTGATTCCCTGACTGCAGACCACAGCCCCTGTCCATAGAGCTGACCACTTCCTCCCTGTGCACTTCGGCCTGGGCCATAACTGCTCCCAGGGGCTGCTAGGCCCGGCGCTGTACTCTCCTCTGTGCGTCTGCTACCCCCTACGGCCTGACAGTGCACCCTGGGCTGGGCCAGAGAGAGGAGACCAAGCACTACCACCAACAGCCCTCGGGCCGGCTCTAATCACAGGATGCATGGAGCAGGCGATTACAGGGCAGTTCGCAGGGATGCAGGCCGCCACTGTCTGAGCCTGAGCTTGGGCCTGACCCCACACGTGGAGCAGGCCGGGTGCGCGGAGTAGGATCTTTGCCAGTGACGGGAGGGGCAGGGCAGAGGAAGATCGTGGACAGTGTCTGAGGGCTCACTATGCGGCAGGCACTGAGCTTTACACACCAAGCTCTGCGTTTGCTTCTCAGAACAACCCAAGGAAGTGCATCCCACGTATGCATTTTACAGGAGAAAAGACTGGTGCTAAAAAAGCTGAAATGACTCGCCCAGGGTCAGGTTGCCAGAAAGAGACAAAGTCCAGACTCAAACACCAGTTTTTCTGCCTCCAAAGCCCATCCCGGTAACCACCTTGAATTAGTTTTTGCGAACTAGCTTCCAACAAAGGTAGCTCATTTAATTGGGGTCAATTATTGGTGAGGGCCAGACAGAGGCCTCCAGTGTCTCCCAGCCCCCTCCCCTCGATGAAAAAGAAACCCTCTGACATTCTTCCAGGTGGGGATAGGGGGGTTGGGGGGCCCCAAGCGGGCAGTGCAGTTGGGTGTCCAATTGGAAAAACAAGCAGATTCAGACAAGGCTTCATTGTTAAGGAGAGCCTGACTCTTTGGCCATTAAAACAAAACCAAGCAAAACAAAATGCTTGCTGTCTTGTCTTATCTCTTAGAGAGAAGGGGGACAGGAGGAAGGGCCTCGAGACTGGGTGTTGCTCCCTACCCCCCCCCCTCCCCCCGCCCCACCACCACCACCAGCAGCAGCAGCTCTGAGACTCCAGGCTCAGTGGCTAGGGCAGGAGGAAGAGCCCTGCAGGGGGAGTCCAGGGTCTGAGTGCGCGGCCGGCTCTGCCAGTCTCTGCCTTCTAGTGCACAGTGCGGACCCTCAGGCCTTGTTCGGTCACTGCGGCCCTCTCAGGAAGGGATTATTGTTACTCCTATTTCCAGATGAGGACACCGAGGCTCCAAGAAGACACCCAAGCAAAGAGCAGAGGGGTGTCGGGACCCAAGTGTATAGGATTGTAAAGTCTTCCCACCGCCCCGTTTCCCCAGGCAGGGGGGTCTCCGGGAACGCACGGCCACGGAGGAGGGAGCAGCGGAAAGCAATGAGCTCCTTGTCACGGGATGGGCAGGTCCCGTGGGGGAAGCTGCGGAGGCATGCAGTGCGGCCAGTGGCTCTCATTCCTGACAGCCCACTGACCTCACCTGGGGCACTTCACAAAACGACTGCTGCCCGGGTCTGGCCCTGGACTGTGGGGCGGGGCCCAGGAAGGACTTGTAAAGTTTCCTACATGATTCTAATGTGTGTGGCAAACTCCGAGAGCCATGGGCACAGGTCTCACCCCACAAGTGCCCCACCCCACACTCTTGAAGGAGAGAAGGACTTTCCTACGCTGACCCCATGTTACAGGACGGGCAAAAAACAGGCACAATAGAAGGGCTGAGGTCATGTCCTCAAGGCCCACAGCCAACCCCGAGTGCAAGCAGCACAAGGGCACCCTGACTTCAGGGTGCCTCTGGGGTGACCTCCTTTGAGATACTTGGGGGGTCCTGGCTCCCTGGTCAGTAGAAGAAAACTCTCCTTTGAGCCTCCTGGGTAGGAGCGTGAGAGGAATTCTTCATGACATTTAAAACAAAAGAGAGTCCTCTCATTCAAAGCTAAACAGCTGCAGGATTAAGGCTGGGAGACCACCTCTGCCGGCGGGTGTGCCAGGGAGCAAGGCCTGTTTATTCTGTTCTGTAGATCTGGTCTCAGATCTCGGCCCACACTTCCTCCCAAATGGCTTTCTTGCCTTCCTTATGCCCTCAAACAGAATGTCACAGATGGTGAGACAGCGTGAGTGAGGCGGTGGGAAAGGGAGGCCTGTGGAGACCAGCAGACCTGGGACTTCCCAAGCTCTACCCTAGCTGGCTACCCTGAGACAGAAACCGTTCACTTCTGAGCTCATTCCTAGCGCTGGCCTCACAGCAGTGCCAGGGCGCGTGCATGTGCTTGTGTGCACATGCGTGTGTTCAATGACACTTTCAAACTCAGCGCTGGGAGCACCACCACCCAGAAGCCTGTCCCAACATTTTCCATCCAGCTCTAGACAGAATCCCAGCCCAGGGCCGTCCCTGCCACATTCTGTGTTGTCTTTGTTTCTGTGTCCTTCTCTGCTTACCATCCTTTCTTTCCCTGCACAGAGCAGCGGCCCTTTACCTGGGATTCATTCCATACCCATTCCCAAGCACCTGTCCTCTTTCAGGCGCTCTGCTAGGTACCAGAGATACAGCCAATGACAGCTAACATGCACTGAGTACTTAATAAGTGCTGGGTATTTTTCTGAGCGCTTTACATGTATAATCCATTTAATGCTCACCACAACCTTATGAAATAGGTGCTCTAATCGTCCCATTTTACAGATGGGGAAACTGAGGGCCAGAGAGGTTAAATCATTTGCTAGTATGTGCATTCGGCCTGTGATTTGAGCATTACCCTTGACTACCAACCATCCACAGACAACGATGGGACTGGCCCCACCTCAGGAGCTTACTCTTTACAATTTGGAAGTTTTGTATCTGTGTGTTTACTTGTTTAATGTCTGTTTCCCCAACAGACTAAAATCTCCAATCATGTTACATTTCCGAAAGAGAGAGAGAGAACTTGAAAGAACTTGAAAATGGATGCTGCTTAAGGAAGGACTCGCTCGGCCAGCATCTGCCTGCTGGGCCCAGATGGCTTCTCCCAACTGGGTCATTCTGCCACAGAGGCCTGAGAATAACCAGGCCCCTGGCCATCCTGCTCCCTGCCCTGAACTCAGCTCAGAGCCTTCCTCATCTTTCTCAACTACCTGCTCGCCGGGAAGGTGATGGGAATTGCAGCTCTATAAATCCCACCTGACACAGAGTCCTCCCCAGACAGCGAAGTGTCCTCCTCTGGGAAGTCCTCCCTGCCACCTGGCACACCCCCCCTCCTGGCATCACCAGCTAGACTTCAATCAACTTCCTACTGAGTCACTTGTTCACAAGGCTACCAAGAAGACAGGCAAGTGGACTCAGGCCGATGCAGCCTCCTCCGCCCATCACCCCACTTCACTCCTGCAACACTGTTATTGCCATTACCAGGCCCATTTACAAGTGGAAAGGCGGAGCCACTTGCTCAAGGGGCAACTCACATGGTCTCCCCTGCCCAGGGGGTTGCCACTGTGTGCCAGGCATGCTGCTAGGCACTCTGGGGGGGGAGGGGAGGGTTGGGGTGGCATAGCATCTAGTTCTGACTGGCTGGCAAGGAAAGCAGACCTACACAGCCCCAATCCACAGACCACACTCAGAGAGTGAGGCTATGGATCTGCAGAGGAGGAGGTGGGATTCCACT